TAATTTCTTGTACCTTGTACTATATTCATCTATAAATAAAGAACTGGTCGACTGGCTAGTACAGTTCGACATTTTCAGCATCTCTTCTTCTTCTCCTCTTCTCTGCTACTTAGACTACAGTGGTTCAGCTTTCATTGTGTGTTGTAACTGTTGCTTGCTAACAACGGTATTGACAGACAAGCGAAACCATAGAAAGATGCTTATAAAAAAATTTAAGTATGACTTAAATAGAATATATGCAATGCAATTTAGCAGTCACGAGAGCAAGAATAAACACACAAATACAACTGCAGACCAAGAGATACCTCAAATGAACACTTCTGTGACATGACCTAATAACACATAATGAGGTAGAGATGGAAGAGCATATCACCACAAAATTGGAGTGCATGTATAAGAAATTAAGAGGCGCATCCAGATTCTTGTGTCATCGAGAATACTAATGAGATTAAAAAGGAAAAAAAATATAAGACATCAACAAGGATGTACTGAGCAATCAAGCAACACTATTTCCAAAAATATGTGTGTAAATGAAACGAAAAAGCTAAGATGGATGAGTGGTAAAACTAGAATGGATGGTACTAGAAATGAACCTACTCATAGGAATTTAGAGAATTAGAGGTAGCTCAGAGTCATAAAATAGAGGAAAGTAACCTAAGATGGTTTTGGGAACACACACAAAAGACCACCTAATGCACCGGTAAGAAGAAATGATTGATGCAAGTTGAAGGGTCCAGACTAAACTCTAAAGAAATAGTTAGGTCCCAAAATTGATTCATGTACCTCCAGGCAAGGCACCCCCAAAACGCCTTGAGGCACATGCTGGAAGTGCTTATACTTCTGAGTTGTGTGCCTCAGGTGCATGCCTCATGCACACCTCACACAAAACGAAAGAAAAGAAAAGGAAATGAAATGAAAGGAAAGGAAAGGAAAAGGAAATGAAATAAAAGGAAAGGAAAAGGAAAAGGAAGTCTGGGTTGGGGACAGAGCCCCTGGACCCTGGCTGGAGGCTTATGCCTCTTGCGTTCTGAACTACACCTCATGCCTCCAGGAAGTGGAACACCTCGCATCACACCTCCATGATTTAAAACATTGATTTGATCTCACCCAGTTAATAAAACTAAAATAACAACAAAAGTTATTTTATCAATAGAGGTAAAGAAAAGGATTCCAATGGAGAGTCATACATTAAGTGCATTTAGTCTGGTCTTATGGGCTCCAGGTGGCATACCACCCTCATAAGAATGAACTACTGCGACAGCATCAAGTTCTCCCTCCTGTAGAGAACAAAAAATAAAATTAGGAGATAGCTTCATAGATTCTCTTACAGTAATATGCCTTCTTGTCTATAAACTTCCATGTGAAAAACAAGAAGACAAATGACCTCACTTTACTATGCATATGCAAAGCATCAACTCTCTGATGGTAACTACTAAAAGAACTCAGAACAGCATATTGATAACAAGAAAAAGCCTATTTGTTTTTCAAGAGAACAGATGACCAATTAAAAGTAATCATCACCCACTAAAAGATATAAGACAGAGAAAAAGAAAACACACTTTAACTTGACAATAGGACTCTTTCAATTTGTTCAGCATCAACAAGTCTATAGGCTTCACTAAAGGGTCTGTGGAAATTGATGGCCATGTCTGATGATGCTGCTGAATCCATAGAAGGCATCTAGAAATATCCTGCAAAATTACAGTCATTTAATTGCTTGCTTAAAGACAAAACTGCTTGGCAAATGAAGAAAAGAACACATAAACAATTGAAAGAGAAAGTAAACAAGGAAAGGCACATGCTAATAAAAAGATTTTTTATCAATTCCCTTGTGTGTCTGGGAGCAAAGGAATTCGATTCTTCTCCAAGAGCATAGAGACACCCAAATCAAGCATCAATTATTTGGTATGCAGGACAAGTCCTGGGATTATAGAGTTGGCTAAATGCTCAACGGATGGCATGTCATAGTGATCTCTTTGATTAGGAGACAGCATGATATGCAGGAGCACACCGCCCCCCCCCCCGGGCAGAAAAACGGTGTTCTCTATGGATGATATATTATAAGAGCATGGGGATGAGTGGCAAATTCCTTTTCAATGGCAAAGTCTTAATGGAGTGGAACCCTTCATTAAATATAGAATGAAGTTGAATTTTGATGAGAGTTGAATTGGTAACCCAGGCCCTTCAGGGATTGGCTTCAGGGATTCCTGTACTCGACGTCTGATTGGCTTCAGGGATTCCTTAAAGGCAGAAGTAATAGTGATACTACAAAGCCTGAGGTTAGCTTAGCAACTTGGGCCGCAAAATGTAGAGGTAGAGGGTTCAAACTTGGTTATTTCTTGGATAAGCAGCAACAATTCAGGAGCATGGATTTACAAGCTAACTCCTAAGGGACATTGAGAAGCTAGCAGTGGAAGTGGGAGCCACTTTAGATGGGTCAAGAGAACTGGAAATGGAATTGGGATCTGATCCTCACACAGGGCGCCTCACACCGACCTCACATGCACATCCCACCATGCATTAGGAACATCTCCCATGAATAATAACGTATAAGTACAGGAGATGTTCCCAGTGCATAGTGGGATGTGCCTGTGAGGTCGGTGTGAGGCGCCCTGTGTGAGGAGCAGACCTGGTCTCTTGGAAATGGGATGGCAGATTCTTTGGCCAAACAACAGGTCCATAAGGAACAACTTTTATGGGCAGAGTTGTAAAAAGAATGCAAAACAAAGTATAAGGGTTGCTGGATAATTCCCAGCTCTGAATTGTAAATTTGTAATCCTTTAAGTTTCAATTGTTTTAATGAATTTCCTGGTTACTAATAAAAAAAAATTAAAAAAAAATTAGAGGGAGCTATCAAATATCAAGTTCAACTGTTATAGATGCTTGCTTGAAAATCCAGGACCTCTATGTGTTGGTGGCTTGTTAACATGAGCTAGGTATCAGGTCCTTACTGTGTAGTGTGTACTCTAGCCGGTTTGATATGGGGACTCCATCAGAGCATAACTGATGGCGTTGCCACAAAGGCTCTGATGTTTATTTCTAGGATTTAAGCATGCAATAAGAGGGTGATCCCCAAGTAGTAATGGGACAGAGGGGGGATGGCTAGGAAGGAATGTAGAACACATGATAACCCTTGGCTTGTAGAATGAAAACCTTGTTCCAATCTGGTCCTTGACAAAGCAGAATGGCAAACTCATGTAGCGAACTCCATATAGTTGGGATAAGGCTTGGTTGAGTTGAGTATAGATCCAAGATCTGCCAAATCATTGGCAGAGAGTATTGCCAGGAGAGGGGTAACAAGGGATACTTAGTATTGAAGGATGATATTTTGGATAGTCTTTTATTAATTTTTCCCTATGAGGTGATTCCCTCAGACCCTAACATGGGGCCAAGGTTTCTGGCTTCTCTATATTATGCTTGTAACAAATTTTCACTGCTTTTGATCATTAATAAAGGATGTCTTAACCAATGTTTTAAAAACCGACCCAGAAGCTGAACTGTGTTTCCCTCCAGGTCACAGGTCAGCAGTTCAACCATCCAGGTTGGACGGTCAGACAGTGACACACCATCATGTGTATATAGATATACATGCACATAAATGCACGCATACATGCATATGTACACACGTATGTATGTCTGTATATATGTATATATGGTTCATTTTAGGTCTAATTTATATTTTTATTTCAGTTTTTAATTATTTATAAATAAAAAAGCTAAAAAAAGAGATTGAGGCCCCAAAAGGTGTTTTTTGGCAAAACAATAACGGGACAAGGTTCCTTCAGCACTCTTGGCAATAAATCCGATTGAAATATGAAGAAGTAGAGAAGAGAAGGGAAGAAGAGAGAAAAGAAGAAAGAAAGGAAGAAGAAAAGGTTTGGAGCAATAGAACAGTGCTGGCAGCACCAGCTTCTATTATATTATATAGGGCGGCAGAAATAAGAAGGGAAAAGACCCTTGTGCCCCTGCTGTAAGTGAGTACAATAACAGAAATAACAGAAAATAAAAAAAATGTTTTAACTAGCCAAACAGACCCTAACACAAATAACTAAATTATTTCAACACTCCCCCTCAAGTTGGAGCATAGATGT